CGGGGGGGATCGCGATGGCGGGAGAGAAGAAGAAGAAGAAGAAGACGACGAAGAAGAAGAAGAAGATAAAAAAAAAGAAGAAGAGTAGGAAGAAGAAGAAAATGATGAACATAAGAAGACCAAGATGAAAAGGAGAAGAAGAAGAAGAATAATCGAAGAAGAAAAAAAAAAAAAAAAAAAGAAAAGAGAGATTTACGGGAACCAAATTCAAATGTCTGATTGATTAACTGAAATGATAATTCAAATTACTGACCAGAGGCCAAATCAATGATAACCACAACACAAACACAAACACAAACACAAACACAAAGGCTTGATAATATGCAATGATCAAGCCTTGAGGATGCTTCAAGCAGAGAATAGTTGAAGACAGAAGTGAAAGTTCAAAGTTTCAATCTGCTGCCCAATCATCACCTGGCAGCTGTTACATGACATGAGCAGAGGCAACAAGGACAATTTATTGGGAAAAAGGACCCTGTTGAATGCCGGACTTCCTCCCTTCCTCCTCCCCCCCCCCCCCCCCCCTCCTCCATGAAATGTGAAGAGCACTTACTGGATTAGCTTAAAATGTGTCCGATCGGCGATCACCGCCATAAGCGTGATTCGCAGATCAATGGCGATTTGGCACGATGATGAGCAGATCAATGGGTATCACAACCCCTTGTTACGAGCCGGCTTGATTGACATAATTTATGACATAATTTGAACCGCCGACTTCATGTCGGACTGCCACACATAGGTCACTGGAAACCAGGACTATGCAGAGTCGCAGACTATACATACTCGATCGAGTCGATACTAGTCTGTAGTACTTAATGCAAGATATAGACAACATGTGACTATATGGTAACGTACCATACGACTAACTCGCTTACTGACAATACACAGTCTATACATGACTCTACATGACTCTACATGGCTATACATGATGAATAGTGATGTGACTATACATAGCTAACTGCCGATAAGACATCATCAAACATTATGAATACATACTTGAATGGACGATACACATAGTCGATCATAGATGACTATACATTGGTAACTGACCATATGACTAACTCGCTTACTGACTATACACAGTCTATACACGACTCGATAAAAGATTATATTATATAATATGACTATGCATGACTATACACGATGAAACATGATTAATATTGATGAGAAATGACTGCGAATATTGAATTGACTACATGACTACGCTGGTAACTGACTATACACGACTATACATCGTCCATGGCTATACAATGTATACATGCTTGACAATAATGCATAGTAACTGCCTCGTCAACTGAATTATATTTTCTAAGTTACTGAGTCAACTAGTTACTATTTATTACTGGATGGACTGTATATACTATATAGTATATACACGGTTAACTGGGTACTATTCATCGTTTCCAAGTAGCGAACTCACAATGAATGTACTTTGACGATATAAACAAACTCACAATAGCATCCAGTTAACTGACAGTTACTGAGCATATAAACAGTTACCTCAGTAACTGCCTAATAGATAATAGACAGTATATACACAGTTAACTGTGTACTATTCTTGGTTTCCAAGTAACTAACTCACAACAGTTAACTGGCAGTCATTGACTAGCAAATTGACTTTTGACTTTTGACTTTTGACTTCGGACTTTTGACTTTTGACTTTGGACTTTGGACTATATACTAGGCAGTTACCGAGTGAACTCACAATAGTACATAGTTGCTGACTAATCAACACAACATGTTGATCTGCACACGAGCCCAGTGGCTATTCGCTATAGCCACGAGCTCTTCAATGTACCAATTGGCTATTCGCTATAGCCACGAGCTCTTCAATGTACCAATTGGCTATTCGCTATAGCCACGAGCTCTTTAATGTACCAATTGGCTATTCGCTATAGCCACGAGCTCTTCAGTGTATTCACCATAGATCCACCGCAGTCAAGATGATAATAGCGAGTGACTTGGATGTGCCGCCCCTTTGGATCGATCCACTGACGAGACCAGGTCCAAGTTGACCGATTCCGTAAGTGGACCTGTTCCAGCTTGACATACGAATAAGTGCACCTGGTCCAGGACTCCATGTCGAATGATGCCAATAACTGGACCTGGTCCAAGCTGACTGAATGCAATAAGTGGGCCTGGTCAAAGTTGACTGATTCAATAACTTCAACTGGTCCACCGATGAGAACCTGGTCCAAGTTGACTGCTGTCGTACATCGTAAATCGACCTGGTCAGGCTTGGGGTACTAATACGTGCCGCCAGGTTCAGGTGGAATGTTGCAAGGAGTGAACCTGGTCCAAGTTGACTGACTGATGCAATAAGTGAACGTGGTCCAAGTTGACTGATGCATGGCCCGGAATGTGGACCACGTAGGCTGATCCTTGGCCCAGACCTGATCGCTGTCAGTCAATGCATGGCCAGGATACGGTAAAAACCCCAACCGCCGTTCTGCTACGGCAGCGTGCCCCTTGTCGGTGTAGCCACTTGGGGATGCCCAGCCTGGACATAGTCTGAGTCCGACGCCACCTAAAAATGTGTGGCTGAAAACCACACTTCATCCCATCTCGAATGCGTGCCCAAGAATATGGGCCGGAATGCGTCGACTGGATCTCGCCTGGGACATATGATATGACCAACACGTGGACGCTGGTGCCTTGGCCCCGGAGAGTAGATCAAACCACAATATATAGATCGCACAGGCATCGACGTCCCCACTTGCCACTCCATGTCTATTAACAACACCCCCCCCCCCCAGTTGCACACAACAACAACTCTGAGAGAGAGAGACTGTTTGTTTCAAGCCGTTTAGCAACAATACTCTCTCTGTCTGTCTGTCTGTCTGTCTGTCTGTCTGTCTGCCTCCCTCTCACAAACTCTCAAACATACACACACTCGCTGCGGGATCCCCCCTCACACTGCTCCTCTCTCTCTCTCTCTCTCTCTCTCTCTCTCTCTCTCTCTCGCCCGCTTGCTAGCTCTGTGCAGGTCTCTGCACACCATCTCTGCAGGTCTGTGCGACCTCGAGAAAGGAAATTGGCTGCAGCAACCACAGCTTACCCTCTGAAGATTCTAAGTGCATCGATAATATTTTAGCAATACGTGAGATGGAAGCACCGATGGGTGGAACTGGAGCCCCAGGTTAACGACTGACAGACTGCAGGTCAGCCACGTTCATCGGGGGATCACCGTGCAGCCAGCCTGACAAGCTAGTAGGGAGCTTTGAGAAGAAAGGGTTGATTTACAGAAAGGTTGCATGAGGCACAACTGATACTTGCCATGAGTCGTTCATTGCCAGACGGCAACTCAACGAGTCGACGACGACTCGACTCGACTCAATCGGTCGGTCGGTCGTTAAGCAAAACACAGACAGTATAAAGGAGGGGAATCCGGAATGGCAGCAGACCAGATTAGCAAGGAGTATACACAAACTGAGGGTCATGCTGGCGATTTAGTAATCCAATAGTAATTAGAAGCTACAAACAGAGGGGTATAAGAGTAATTAACAATAACAAGTACCCAAGCAGGCAGAGAGTGCGTGTCATTCATCCAGGATTATGGGGGGGGGGGTCGCAGTCGTTCACAAATAAATTGAAATAACCCTAACAGGACCCCCCCTCCCCGTCCCTTCCTAATCTACCCATACGACCCCTGCGCTCACCTTGAATATGTTGTTGCCCTTATTGTCAGTCCCGGTCAGTCAATCACATTGCAGAGTCAATGCAGACTAATCATGGTTAATTTTGTGACTACGGTAACTTTACAGGAGCCCCGGAATGAACTGCTGGTGGTACTCACAGTTAAAACTGGAGCCAACGGGTTGAATACACTATACAGCAATAGAGATAATTTTCTGACTGCGGTAACTTTACAGAGCCCCGGAATTAACTGCCGGTAGTACCCACAGTTAAAACCAGAGATACACGGACAATGTTTTCACTGCGGTAACTTTACAGAACCCCGGAATTAACTGTTGGTAGTACTTAACAGTTAAAACCAGAGATACACAGACAATGTTTTCACTGTGGTAACTTTACAGAACCCCGGAATTGACTGCCGGTAGTACTCACAGTTAAAACCAGAGCCAATGGGTCACATACACTCCAGCTACACAGACAATTTTTTCACTGAGGTAAACTTTACAGAACCCCGGAATTAACTGTTGGTAGTACTTACTGTTAAAACCAGAGATACACAGACAATGTTTCACTGTGGTAACTTTTCAGAAGCCCGGAATTGACTGCCAGTAGTACTCACAGTTAAAACCAGAGCCAATGGGTCACATACACTCCAGCTACACAGACAAAATTTTCACTGCGGTAAACTTTACAGAACCCCGGAATTAACTGTTGGTAGTACTTAGCAGTTAAAACCAGAGATACACAGACAATGCTTTCACTGCAGTAACTTTTCAGAAGCCCGGAATTGACTGCCCGTAGTACTCACAGTTAAAACCAGAGCCAATGGGTCACATACACTCCAGCTACACAGACAATTTTTTCACTGCGGTAAACTTTACGGAACCCCGGAATTAACTGCCGGTAGTACTTACAGTTCAAACCCGAGCCAACGGGCCCGCATACACTACAGCTGCAGCCAACGGGTCGCATACACGACACCTACAGAGATATTTTTTTTCACTGCGGTAACTATACAGGAGTCCCGGAATGAACTGCGGGCAGTACTTACAGTCACAACCCGAGCCAACGGGTTGCATACAGTACGGCCATAGAGATCTGTGAGCAAATGAGTGAGTGAATATATACATGCCCACAAATCCTGGAGAGGATAATACGCTGTTGCAATACTACCTAGTGGCAGAGGGTGGGTGCACACAGTTCACGGAGAAGGGGAGAGGCGTTTCCGCCGAGGCCAGACTTTGAATGCGTAACGACGGCAGAGGGAAACGCACTTAAACATCGAGCTAGCGGCTGGGGAGAGAATAGAGAGAGACAGGGTTAATAAGATGAAAATGCCTGGCATTCAGCACCAACACGACCCCTTTACACAAGGGGCCTTAACAGCAAGGACCCCAGACGTTGACCTTGTTAGTCAGAGTCAACTCCAACTGATCTCAGTCCAACTCACTTACCATCTGTTATTGCCTCAATTTATCTTCCATTAACCTTACTTAGACTGAGGTGGACCGACTTCAACACGCATGAACTCGCGTCAACGACACGAGTTAACTCACGACGGTGCTCTGCAGTGTGTTCGTTCAGGTAGGCCAACACGGTCAACGCAGACTGTGCTCCAGAGGTTTACCATGTTACTCAGAAGTCAACTCAAACTGACCTTAGTCACACTCAGTAAACATCATCATCAGTCAGCCTCACTTCATCTTCAATTCACCTTAGTGAGACTGAGTTAACATGCATTAACTCTGGTTTGTCATGAGTTAACTCACGACTCTGCACTGTGTTCAGCTACCGTCTTCACCCAAATAGAACGCCCGGTAATTATCGCCGTATCCGGGCTGAAAGTTGTGCCAAATACAGCTATAATGACCGGGCGTTCTATTCGGGTGAAGACGGTAGGTTGACCTGGTCAATGCAGACTGTGCTCCAGAGGTTGACAGGGGGGCTACAGTCTACTACTATAGACGATTCTGAATGTGCTCCAGAGGTTGACAGAGGGGCTATAGTCTACTACTATAGACAATTCTGAATGTGGAGGAGAGAGTGTGTGGCATGCACAGCAATTCGTTTAGCAAATTTAACACCCGCTCGATGTGGACGATAATCGCACGCTATAGAAGGGCTATAACCTGCTGCAATAGAAGGGCTATAGCCTCAGACAGGGGGGCTATAGTCTACTACTATAGACGATTCTGAATGTGCAGGAGAGAGTGTGTGGCATGCACAGCTATTCGTATAGTCTAAATTGGTCACCGCTGATAGTTAGACTATAGCCACTCACTGAGCTTCACTCAAGTCGACGGCAAGCAACATCGATTTCGGAAACGGGAGGAACGGGAACAGACAAAGGACCACAAAGAACCACCTCCCTCCTCCTAGCGGGCTAGCATCATTTGAGAGAACATATCTGTAAGTTAGAGAACACAGCTGTCAGCCAGCTAGACACCTGCATCACGGTGTGTCTATTTGCACATCAATCCTCCAGCTATGCAATGCCGCTGCAGCGAAGGCTATTCCAACCGATTTACGAAATTGGCAACCATGAGCGGGCCAAAGGATCCCATCCGGCTATAGCTCATTCACGCTATAGCCCGATTGAATCTCATCCGGCTATAGCTCATTCATGCTATAGCCATACGCTATTTTCAGAGCCTGATTTGGCCACAAAGAGCGGGCTACAGCCCGCTTGCACGTGGCCCAGGCTGTTTCCAATGATCTATGATTTGGGCCATTTTGGCCCCACAGTGAGGGGGGGTATAGCCCGTTTGCAACTCCAGCAGGCTATTTCTGGTCTATGATTCAGCCACAGTTGAGTGGGTTACAGTCCCAATGGAAGAGTCGAGGGCCACAGTGAGTGGGCTAAAATCCAACTCCACTGTAGCGCATCATAGACAAGCGACGATTGAAGGTGTTATCAACGATAAATAACAGTTGGGCATTTGGACGGACGGCTGCAGATGCAAAGGCCATCAACAGTATAGCAAGCAATCGGGCTATAGCACGAATGAGCTATAGGCAGAGTGAGATTCTTTCTAGGGAGGGGAAGGGAGGGGGAGGAGTTAAACCCGTGAAGTATAGCAACTGGCCTATAGCCTAGCTGTCAGACTACCGTCTTCACCCGAATAGAACACCTGGTCATTATAGCTGTATTTGGAAACAACTTTCAGCCCAGATACGGCGATAATTACAGGGCGTTCTATTCGGGTGAAGACGGTAGTTGGGCCTCAAGTCTGCCATAGGATGAATAAGCTATAGCCCAGTGAAATTCGTTCTCTGGAGGGGGGGGGTGGAGGACGTTAAACGCATAGCAGTTGGGGCTAATAGCCCAGCTGTCTGACTAACTGGGCCTGACGCCTGCTATAGCCACTTTTGCTAATGCGGAAGTCTAAAGACAGAGCGCACGGTTAATAGACGTAGAATTATAGAAATGCGCAGGTGCAGCTCCCCACCACTAGAAAAGGAGCATCTTTCTGGGGGGGGGGGAGGATAAAAAAAAGAATTTTAGAGTTGCACTTGCAGTCCTGTCTGTGCACAAAAAAGGATAATGTAGGTGAATTTGGTGAAATGCATTGCCGGTGATGTCACATGAGAGCATTTACATCTGGCCCACAGCAGGCTCTACTGTCTTCACCCGAATAGAATGCACAGTCATTATAGCTGTATGCGGGCCAACTTCCGGGCCAGATGCAGTGATAATGACCAGGCGTTTTATTCGGGTGAAGACGGTGAGCCTATAAATAGAAGGGCTAATTAATAGCCCATCTATGGGACACACTGAAATGAAAAGAAGAAGATCGAATGAACGAAATGCTGGCGACATGACAGAGCATCTGAAGTCCACCCTTAGCAGGCTATATGATAGCTATAGCAGGCTATAGCGGCATAGCCCCTCTGTCCAAGGCTATAGCCATTCTATAGCAGGTTATAGCCCATCTACAGCGTGCTATTGTCCATCTTCAACAGGCAAATAGCAGGGGGGGCTATAGAAGTTATGGCCTCGGTATCGATGCGATTGCCACATGACAGCATCTAAAGCCCCACACCTTGCAGGCTATATGATAACTATAGCAGGCTATAGCTATAGCCCCTCTATCGGAGGCTTTAGTCCTTCTATAGCAGGCTACAGCCCATCTATAGCACCATGCTATTGTCGCTTTGTAGCAGACAAATTATAGCAGGGGGCTATTATACAAGTTACGGCCTTGGTACAATCGCAATAGCCACGTGCGCAAGACCCGATGATGAACCCAATATAGACGCTAGTCACACCACCATACCCGGCTTCAGAAGCATCTCCGTCCGCCTCCACACTCTCCCTATCCACCTCCTCCCCTGCATCACCTCTTTCAGCTTTCACACCTACCTCTGTGCCACTAAACATTGCATGCTTTCTTTGCCTAGCTCGATAAGACCACCAATCACTTCGGGAGCTTCCGTAGATAATCCAGCCATTCTCGTGGGGTCGTCTTCGCTTCCACGCGTATTGAGCGGTACGCCTTGGTGCTTGGTGGAAACTCCAATATTTTTGGCTCCTGCACACACACACGAATTACACAGTTCGAACTCCGAGTTTTAACTCGGTGACTTTTTAACTCGGTGACTTTTTAACTCGGTGACTTTTTAACTCCGTGACCTTTTAACTCGTGACTTTTGAACTCGTGACTTTTGAACTCGGTGACTTTTGAACTCGGTGACTTTTGAACTCATGACTTATCGGTCGACTCCGATAGCCGTGAGAACACTCTTTCTTTTTTTTTTTCTTTTTTTCTTTCTTTTTCTTTCTTTTTTTTTTTTTTTTTTTTTTTTTTTTTTTTCGTACCAAACACACGCCCATTCTGTTCTGGGGGACATCAGCCCAGTTGCTTATCGCCGACAAGCAGGACACTCTCACCAGCATCATGTTACACTACTGTGGTACGGGAGTCGCAGAAGATTAAAATGGGAAAAAAAAAAGAAAAAAAAGCATCCTTTCTTTGGATATACAAGTTAGTACAACCATGTTTGCCGGTGATAAGTAACCGGACTGCTGCCCCCCAGAATCGAAGGGGCTTTGTGTTGGGGGTGGGGGGGGGGGGGGGGACTTAAAAAAAGGGGAAAAAAAAGGGGGGGAAAAAGGGGAAAAAAAAGGGGGGGAAAAAAGGTGGAAAAATTGGGGGAAAAAAAGAGGAAAAAAAAGGGATGTTAGAATTAACATGTGTAGCTCAGTTGGTACACCCATGAATTGTTTAAAATTGAAATGATGCAGACTCAAGTCCGAACTCAAGAGTTCGAAATTTGAACTCTTGACTGATTGGTCAACTCTGATAGCCGTGAGGAGTCCGAGGACGCTCCACCGTCTTCACACAAATAAAATGGCAGGTCATTAGAGCTGTATTTGGCGCAACTTTCAGTCCAGATACGGCAATAATCACCGGGCATTCTATTCGGGTGAAGACTGTAGCAGCATGTTACATTACTGCAGTACGGGAGAGGCAGAAGATAAATAAGGGAAGTTAAAAAAAAAAAAAAACAAAAAAAAAAAACAAAGGACGTCACAAATAAGTTGAAATAGAACCCCCGGACCCAGACACTGGACCAGTGCAGACGTCCAGCCGGACCTGTGTGAGGACTGCTCCGGACCGTTCTGATCGAAAAACATCGTAACCAAAAAAAAAACAAAAAAAAACAAAAAAAAAAACGTTTTTCTTTTTGGATTTGGCTACGAATTTCGCGATGGTCCTTGGCCAAAAGATGTTTGTATTGGAATGCTGCATGGCAGTGCATACCATACCTTTTTATCAGCTTATTAAACATTATTTTGATTTTCTTATTTTTTGTCGGTTTTTCTTTGGGGTGGGGGTTGGGGGACAGATCCGGACACCAGACCCGGACATCCAGACCCAGGCCGTCTGAACTGCGGTCTGGACGCCCGGATTGTAAGCATGCAATTAACATGTGTAGTTCAGTTGGTGCACCCATGAAGTGGCATGAACTGTTAAAATACAGACTCACGTTCGAATCCAGGTATTATCAGATGAACACAACAAAGCATAGTTCGGCGCACTGCTACGGTGCACAGTGTGGCGCGGGTGCACTGCGCCATGCGCGAGAGAGTGGTGCACGTGCACGAAAAAAAAACAGGAAAAAAAAGAAGCCGTGCGTGCGAGCATGTCTGTGTGTGTGTGTGTGTGTGTGTGTGTGTGTGTGTGTGTGTGTGTG